GGGTTCTTTTCTGCATACCGCGTTGCCATTGCAAGTGTTCCCTAGGCATCGGCTTTAAGGCCTTATAACCTCGGTATCTCTCTGATTTTTGACAAAACTGTTGATTTGCTTGGTCAGGATAATCGCCTTAGCATAATTTGGAATAGCTTCTCTCTTCATTTAACTGGTCTTCATTTTGCGCATTTTCTAGCTTAAATCCTTTCAAAGGAATTCCCTTATGACGAGCAGTCATAACACCATTTGTCAATTTTGGTTAAAGAGCCTCTTTTTTTATCAAATTGCCGTTCGACATAAATTTCTCTAGAAGGATTTCTTTACGCTTAATTATACTAAGTGACATAGAATGCAACAACCAGAATTATTCGTCGAATTTTGATAAAAACTTATTTGCTATCATTTTCAGTCGGTCCCGTTGGTGTTCGCCCATTGGAGATATCATTTATACCCAAGCAGATGGGTGTCTTTTTCAAGAGTCTAACCTGGTTACTCACTGTTCTGCAAACTCTTTCAGTAATACAGGAATGTTCATCCCACATCCAGCAATTATCCGGTTTTTTTAAATCTTCGACTACCTTCAATTGGATGGCAGCAATCTGAGACGATCTCTCTATTATATAAGGGAACTGAAAGACCTTTAAAATAAGGTATCACTCGACCCCCTTTCCATTTAAGATTTTGGGGTGGTGTCACCCCCGCTTAGGAGGCTGCACGTGCTAACGTAATTTTTTTGCCGAACTTGTGTCCCCCTCGAAAACAAGATCGACGGGCTGAGCGTTTTTAAAAAAAAAACTGAGCTGCCAGTAAATGCGACTGTTTCCTTTTCGATGCGCCACCCTATATATATATATATATAAGAGAGAATATGATCATGCGGAGAAAGGTATATAACAACAAGAAGGAAAATAGTGGGCAAAATCCGCAAAAAGGAGGAAAGTGGATTCGAGCAGAAAATAGGATAGATAACCCGAGCGATACGTATTTCTGCTGGTTGGCTTCATCAGGCCCGAAATGAATGCACATATGAAACTACAAAAGTAGATACACATGTCCACACATCCGGATACGGGTGTAACCTGAGGAAACAAAGTTGGAGGGGAAAGAAAACCGACACACGAAGTCCAGAACAAGAGCCAACCTACACATTGTAGTACAAAATGGCTATACGACCTCGAATTTTCAAGGAGACGTCTAACCACCACCACGCGGGCCTGATGAAGCCAACCAGCAGAAATACGTATCGCTCGGGTTACCTATCCTATTTTCTGCTCGAATCCCGTTTCCTTCTTTATGTGGATTTTGCCCATTATTTTCCTAGTAGATATATATATATATATATATATATATATATATATATATATATATATATATATATATATATATATATGTATATATAAGCAATTATGAGTAAACAGCAAGTCAGATCTACACCAAAAAGCGTATGACCAGAGGCGAATCAGATTTACCTTCACCTTGAGATGCCATTTTATAATAAAAGCGTACTCGTATTCTAACATCAAAATTGGTACTGGGCGTAACAGAAGAACTGTCTGCTTTTGTTGTTCATATGTGTTCACTCTACTTCAAATGTCTGCATACGAGATCTAGTAAGGTCACCAAACAAATCAGAAATCGCCTCACTTTTTACCATATACAAATAATTCCTTGCATATTTCCTCTACGTACAAATTTGGTTACTAAATATGACGGTGTTCTTGAATAAAGAACCTTTGAGTCAGACTTAGGAGCTGGTATTTTTACATTGTAAATGAGCACTTACAAGCCTGCCAAACCCCTGCATTTGTAAAACTCTTTGCTACAAAGGGTCAGTCAGAGCAGACTTACCCAAAATCGTTACAGACATTGCTCGTTAGTCGTATCCCTATACCATGCGCGAATGAATGCACAGTGTTCAAAGTGAATTGCCTATTAAGATGAATACATTTGAAAGTAAATGCGTTTTGCCGTATGAATAATAATATGGGACGCTGCTATAAAACTGAGCTGCATTATGGACTAATGAGAAACAATTGAATGAAGTCTGCTTGATGGGTTACAATATAACAATGCATTATCAATGCGGAATAAGATTGAGAAGATTGCTTGGTTATTAATAAAGAGCGTCTCATTTGATAAAGAAAGCCGACGAACGAAGTATAGAATGACATAGAAAATGCGACACCGACTAGGAATGCTTTTACGAATTTTTGGTCTACAGATAACTATACTAAGTGACATATAAATCCGAACACCCAGTTTAAATGGTTTTATTTTAATAAAAGTTGGTGAATGTATTTATCTTACTGTAAATAACAAGTGAAAAAATTTTCAGCCTCATCAGTTGGACATTCCGGTTTTTATACTGCTATTTTTTAATTCATTAACGCTCTAAAAATGAATATTTCAGCCGCAGTAAAGAATCAAAGTTGGCGGATTTTGGTTCTTGACATCCTTTACGATCGGTTACGATGCCTAGAGTACGGAGACCTCTACGATTTCGTCAACTTAGTGAGTTTGATAGGGGCCGTATAGTGGGACTTCGGGAAGCTGGACTTTCTTTTCGGGCAATTGCAGTTAGAGTGCAAAGAAGTGTAGACACTGTGGTTAGGTGTTGTCAGGCATGGCTTCGAAAAGGCCGTACGCAAAGAGCAAGGGGCACTGGACGCCGCCGTAGAACAACAGATCGTGAAGATCGCCGCCTAAGATTATTGGCCTTAAGGGACCGTTTCTCCACTACCAGGTCCATTGCAAATGAATGGTTTGCAGAACACGGAAGACCTATTGGCATGCGAAGTGTTTACCGACGAATGAGAACTTTTGGCTTGTTTTCATCCCGGCCACACTGGGTCCTCCCTTTAACTCGAGAACACCGACGTAATCGCCTTGAGTGGTGCAGACAACGGTCACTCTGGGATCAGGAATGGAACAGTATTTTCTTTAGTGACGAGTCTCGATTTTGTTTAGGCATGCACGATGGTCGTGCCAGGGTTAGAAGGCGACGTGGTGAAAGGAGGAATCCACAGTTTTTTGTTGAAAGACATGTTCATCACACTGTTGGAGTTATGGTTTGGATTGCTATAGTTTATGGTTCCAGGTCACCTTTAATCTTCATCAGAGGTAACATGAACGCACAGCGTTAAATCCACGAAGTACTAGAACCCCATCTTTTACCCTATCTTGACACCCTGGCAGATCCAACTTTCCAACAAGATAATGCCCGACCACATGTTGCAAGAGTCACAATAGACTTCTTTCAACATAATGATGTCACATTGTTACCATGACCACCAAGATCTCCCGACTTATCCCCAATTGAGCACGTGTGGGATATGATGGGTAGGAGATTGCTCAATTTGCAACGTCCTCCTCAGACTCTAGAAGCACTTCGAGAGGAGTTGGTGGTTGCCTGGAATGAAATACCACAGGAGGACATTGACCACCTGATCAGAAGCATGCCTAGGCGCGTTGGAGAATGCGTAGCATATCAGGGTGCATCCACACATTATTAAAGGTCAAAGGCTTTAAAGCAGTGCAATCATTTTGAAATTTTTATCATTTACTTATTATGCTTCATTAAGTACTTATACAAAATTTTATTAAAATAAAACCATTTAAACTGGGTGTTCGGATTTATATGTCACTTAGTATATTTACAGTAAGATAAATACATTCACCAACTTTTATTAAAATAAAACCATTTAAACTGGGTGTTCGGATTTATATGTCAGTTAGTATACTTTATGGTTCAATATAAAATAAAAATCTAAAGACTTTGAAACTGTGTTTTTTATTTACTTCAAAACTTGCGTTAATTTCGTGACACCCTTCGCAATATGTCGACATATTTAATTGTAAACCCAGGGAACTAAAGTGTGATGCTAAGAATACGTCACAAAATACCTGTGGACAGTATAGTTCTTTTTGTTTTATATTGCTCTGTAAAATGATTGTGTATATGTTAGGCAATAAATGCTATTATTACTATTATTATTATTATCTCTTCAGTTCAATAACAATAAAGGAAGAATGTATTAGAGGTAATCGCCGTTGTGCCACATCACATGCACTGGATCGCGAGATCATAACACAGTCAATGCACAGACACAGGTTCTGAGAGAATCATCGCCATCGCTACGTCGACATACTTGAAATACCTCTATCAGATAAATTTTTTTCGTATCGCCCGATATAGACGATTCAGTCCCGTTTGAATGCGTCTGGTAACATCGTCGAGCAGTAGTAGACCGAACGCTTTGTTCTGAAGGGTTTCACCGAATCAATCTCGAGAATAGAAGAAAGATATCGTTGATCGGTTAAATTTTGATGAATATACAGGGTGCGCCCTATCCATCTATTCGGAAACTCATTACTTGGTTGTCCATAACTTCTGGTCTAAAATGTCGTGGGAACCACATATTCTGTCTCACGTTAAAAAATCTAAATGAATTTCATCGGTCAGTCTAGGTGGAAAAAAGTAGGGTTCAATACGCAAGCCATTTATCACGTCAGCCCAAACATTCAATGAAAATCTATGTTGAAAATTAGTTAGTGGGACCGGGTGACTTTTTAAAGGAAACAACCTGCATGCTGCAGCTGCATTTTGTTGGCACTTTCCGTACGTTAGCATTAAGTCCACTACTTCATTGTTTAAGTGGATGGACCAATTTTTGGCACAAAATAATCAGACAAATTAGATAAACGAGATAAACACGGCATTGGTCGAGAATATCAAAAAATCTGTGTAATAACTTTCTTATTTATTAAAATTTGTAATCTTTTACTATGCAACTTTTATATAGGTGCCCTGCAAGCAGTTAAAATAAATGACTCAACTTTGAAAACACCCTGTATAGCATAAGACATGACACAAGGACACCCGTGAAAACAATGAACCAATCTTAGAATGTTTACCCTGCACCATTTTAATTTATTACAAGGACAGTACGTAAAAATGTCGTATCAAATGCCTTACGATAGCCAATCTATCATTATTATTCTATTGCAGGCACCGCCCTAATGGCTCCCCGTGCGACGCTGCCAGGCGGCCGCTCCCTCCGGCTGACAGAATGATGCCGATTCGGTCGAACGCGCGCGACGCCCACCACCAGCATAGCCACGCCTACGCGGACCACGCGACCAATCAGCACCAGCATCACCATCAGAGGGAGCACGCGTACTATTGTTCGGCACCGCCTACTGCCTCGTCGAGGGATGAAGACCGTTCTCCGCTGCCAGCGCCCCCTGTCCGCGATTCGTCCAGTCTCAGGTCTGTCAAGTACGGTCCTGGACACGAGAAGTTCCCGTCCTGGCCCGTCCCTGCAGCCGCCGATACCCCGCAGGTGAGATTCTCGCGCACAAGAGTGTTCCGGAAAGACGTACTAGGGTACATCCGAAAATAACGAAAAAAGTTCCTATAAATGTTCACATTAAACTGCTGTCTTGATTCGGGTCTTAAGGCCGCATGCATCTATCTGTAATAATGAGGAAGTTACGATTTTTTAACTAATGTCAAGTCGCATACAATAAAATGCAAGAAAAATATTTCAAACACTATTTTCTCAAAACTACTCATTTGGACTTAATCTAGTCTGGCTCTGAGGTACAGATATATAATTTGAAAAGTACACGACTTGGATTTTTTATATTTTTCTGATAACTGTTTTCGGCTTCTGCGACACCCTGTATGCGATAAGGCGAGGCTAACTTTGGAAATGACTCAACCACGTTTCACTAATGGCCGCGTGACTTATCTCAGCAGTAAAATATAAATAATAATAAAACTTGTTTTTTATTGCACAAGGCATTTTCTGCGTAAAATCATGTTATACCAATCAAACAATCAGACCCCTGCGTTTACTGCTAGATATCGGTACCAGATCCAAATGGATATAATTCGCCGGTACATCAATGATATCCAAGCGATTATATTTAACTACTGCAGTTCCATTAGATGCCATCTGCAATAGAACACATTTCCTGCACAATTAGAAGTTAACTCGCATTCCTGAAATAATAACTTCGTGGAATGATCATTAAATGACCAGCGACATGTGGGCCATTCGAAGTAAGGACTCTACAGAAAACGTAACTATCGCCAAGCGCGAGTCCAGGCATTTGAAAAGAAAAGTTCTTAGTACGAAAAGATTCCATTCAAAACCTTCGTCAGCGGTTTACGGCTGAAAGTAGACAAGTAACTCAAGAGATGCTTGCAAATGCGACGAATAGATTCGATCAAAATCTTTATTATTGCATGGAGGTGAATGGACACCACTTTCAGCACTTATTACCACATTGACCTACCTCTTTATAACAAATTAATTTCTACTTTAACTTAATGTACAGGGTGCTACAGAGAGGATGGACGGTTTTAAAAAAATCATAAAATAGTTAATTTTTACTCGAAAACAAATTTATTGATGGAATCAGGTTTACAAGGAAATAGCATTTGAGACAGTCAAGTGTGGAAAATCACATCAGGCATGTGGTGGCCGAAATCGTTGATGCAGTGCTGGAGGCGTTCTTGGAAGTTCGCGTAGACTCTCTCCAACATCGCTCTCTCAACTTGGGCGACTTCCACGCGAATTTCGCCCTTCAATTCGTCCAGATTTCGGGGCTTGTTCGCGTATGAGGTGTCCCTATAAAAAAAAATCGCATAGGGATAAATCTGGGGACCGAGGAGGCCAATGAACATCGCCAAACCTGGAAATAAGGCGACCAGGGAAGAGAGGGCGAATAACGTCCATGGATGCTCGGGCTGTGTGGGCGGTCGCCCCATCCTGCTGGAACCACACATGTCGGATTGGAAAAAAACGTCCGTCCTCTCTGCTGCACCCTGTATAAGTTGCTTTTTGTTTTTTTAATACTCGGAGACTTGTTTTTAATGTTAAAGTCTTGTTACTATGGGAACTATATTGTTTATTATTTTTACCTTACCACAATTTCTAGAATTCTATTATAAACCCAAATAGCTTCACAACGATTGAACATAGGTATACACTTTATTATACAAAAGTTACTAAGAACTACTACAAACCTGTTTTTAGAATTACCATATTTTATAAGCAGTCAAACATTTGTTGCAGGCTTTACGAAACCAAAATAATGGCGGTTCACATAGGTCCAAATCGTGGACGGATCACACCAATTACCCAAAAGAAAAGGTTGTGACTTACACCAGACCCTACATGAAAAGACAACACTCTGCCTATACCCAACAGGTAATAAATAAAGTTTTTACTGCATGATAGAGTCTGTGATTAGATCATTTAGCTATATCTTTTTAAGTAGTCACTAGTCACAAAAAAGTATGATGCAACTGGATCCATTCAAAGCAGTGTGATATCATTCTAAGATACTTTTATCTGCAAGAAGTATCCTGTGATCAACTTTATCAAATGCCTGATTTATACTTTGAAACACGCAATCGAGGTAGCCGAAACGTTAGTAAGGAGTCATCCCTACGAATGTGGGTCCATTTGCCCAATATGTTTTATTGGGCAAAACAAATGGTACTGTTCGGTCCCATTATGGAGAATCTTCACTAAGCATAGGATAATTCGGAAGTTTTTACTACATGATAGACTCTGTGATTAGACCTCAGCTATATCTTTTTAACTAGTCACTAGTCACAAAAAGGTGTGATGCAACTGGATCCATTCAAAGGAGTGTGATATCATTCTAAAATACTTTTATCTGCAAATGGAGAATGTAAATCAGAGAGAGCAATCAAGTTTGAAGGAGCTGAATGTAAGAACGCTATTGTTTACTACGGAGATAATGCTTATACGTAATTATCTGATTATAACATGTTGCTGGCATTCTAATTGACACCGTCTGACGACAAGACATATATCTTTTACAGCCTACACGAACAACCAGCGGCGTAATTATGGCAGTTATGGAAGGAACTGCTTACAATCAAAGGCGTACCAGGATCAAAACGGAAGATACTTAAATTTCTACTTTCGAAATTTTACGATTTTAAAAAAAAATAATTTTTGATTCATCGGTCGGTGATTCGAAAGGGCGCTTGATAGCTGTGTACGGCGATCCTTCTCCTTCAAAAATTGGTTTAACGAGTTCCAACGTGGTCGCACGTCGGTTTTTTGATGTGCCACGCTCAGGTGCCCCAAAAACGGCTGTCACGGAGGATGACGTAACAAAAATCCACGATCTCGTATCGCCGACTGAAGAAGGCGAAGATTCTCGTATCGGCCAGCCCGTTTTCTGGGATTCACAAGGTGTGATCTACGTCGAGTATCTGGAGAACGACAAACCGGTCACAGTGCTCTACTATGCCGAATTATTGGGCAGATTTTACAACACTTGGCGCGCCCTTTTGGCGAAGAAAAAAGTTCTCTTCCACCATGACAACGCATCGCCTGACTCCTCCGGTCAAACTGCTCGAATTAGGCTACGAACTGACGCCGCGTCCACAGTATCCTCCAGATTTGGCCTCGTGTAACTTGTTCTTGTTTACAAACTCTCTCTCTCTCTCCGCGGCATTAAATGATCAGAATTAAAAATATACACACGCGGAAAAAATTGATGGGCAACTTTAGAAACATAACATAACGAAACTTGGGAACGTTTTGATATCATTTGCTAATTATCCCACGGACAATCAGTGGATTTTCAACGATACAATAGTCAAACCTGTCTATAGTATACTGCTCCTGAAATTTCATTGAGAATAGTCACATTGGTAGACTGACATATGGACGAAAAAAGTTATGATTTTTCGTGATATACAGGGTGTAAACGTTATGATAGTCATTATTGCAATGGGTGATAGAGGGGGTTGAAAAGAGCAAAAAGCTTCATATAACATGGGGGTCAAAACGGCATTGTTTTAGAGAAAAGCAACTTTAAAGTAAAATAATGCCAGGCGCAAATTACGACGGAACGCAGTGTAAATAAAGATGGAGTTTGTTATTTTTGGCTCTTAGGTATTATTTCATTATTTGATAAAGTAATTTATCTATGCAAAACGATAACTAACCACTGTTACCGTTTGCGATAGATTGCCGGTTCGATAAGGGTGATGAAAGACCGACGCGCTGTTGTCATGTGTGTTTTAAATATTTAATTTAATAAAACTTACTGACTACAAATTTTGGCTTATCCCCCTATTACCATTTCAATAATGGAACTACCATAACTTTTACACCCTGTATAGGTATAATAGAACAACCGCCATTTGCAACTGTGGTTTTTCTGTATGGAATTGTATAATTTCAACAAAGACGATTATTATTAGTCTTAAAATAAAAATGTATTTGACGACAACGAAAGCCTGTATGATCTATTGGATGCATTACATCATCCTATGTTTTATTCTGTTAGTAGACGAACACTAAAATTCTCGAAATGGAGCGTGGGCGTGTACTCGACAGACTCTCTAAAATGTTTGCGCCACAAAGCAAGGTTCTATTCCGATCCACTAATTGCTCGGTCCTTTTAAGGATGATACACAGGGTGATCCGCCGACACCGTTGATATAGCCATCAAGAAGACATCAATCACCTTATCTAATCATTTCGAGTTATATTATATATACAGGGTGTCCCAGAAGTCGACGTCAAGCCGAAACCGGGTGATAGGCAAAGTCATAACAGCTATCAGAAAAATATTTAAAAAATTTTTATGTATGTGTTTTGAAAATTATAGGTCTTTGAAAAAGATATAGAAATTTCACACCCTACGGCAGTCTGTCAACTCCTGTTACTACAAATATTAACTTTTTGGATTTTATTTTTACAATGTAATGATGAATAATGCATCTTCAAACTGGTGTCTCAACCTTACTGCCAACTTTTCTCGTTCAGGAAAAATTGCCACTTATTTCCCAACCAAGTATTCCAAAGTAAAACTTTGCTCAACTTTAACTGGCTGTACTGGAAAAAATTGTACTACGAGAGTTTGGCAAGTAACCTTAAAAGTTGGCACATTTAATAACGATTCCAAAATGGTATAACACTTAGAAGATTACTCGTTAACTTATGCACAATTTTTATTTGAAAAAAAACTGATGAAAATTTTTCAAAATTTCCTAATTAAACAGCGATTATGAAAACGCACAAGGACTCTTAAGGATAACTGCTTGCACAACTGTGGGCGTCAAAATGCTGCTGATGATGATTTACCTTTACAGCAAATGCTCAAACTGTTTTCCTTCAGCCGCAATACACGCTCGACATCTTCTTAAAAAAGATCGGGTTATTAAAAGAGCGAATCCACGGTTATTAACAAACTCAGCTGCTTCCAATAGTCTTTGCCGTAGCTCAGCTACATTTTGAATCGACTTGAAATACACTTTTTCTTTTACAGTTCCCCAGTAAAAAAATCTAAAGGATTCAAATCTGGTGACCGAGCTGGCCACGGTATTGCACCAGACCGCCTTATCCATCTGCCGGGAAAGTTTTGATCGAGATACTCTCTCACTGAGAGTGCATAGTGCGCTGGGCAGCGATCATGCTGAAACCACATGTCCCTGTAAATATTCAGTGGCACGTCCTCCAATAAATTTTCTAAATGATTTTGCAAAAAACCTAAATAAACCTCAGCAGTCAAAGTCTCTGGGAACTCAAACGGACCGATTATTTTACCATTTAAAAATTCTTGTCCAATGGTTTATTTTGAAGCGATATTGAGATTTATCTTCTCTCATCAAATGTGGGTTTGCTACGTGCCACTCGTGTAAGTTATGCAGGTTCATGTACCCATCTTTCTTAAATGTGGTCTCATCCGACCATAAAATTTTTTCAAAGAACTGTGGATCTTTCCTGTGTCTTTCTAACATTGTGCGACAAAAAGCAACTCGGGGCTCATAATCCCGGGGCAGGAGAGGTTGAACACGCTGTATGTGGTATGGATGAAGCACATCACTTACTTGCTATTGCACGTTTTGATACCGATCAGTACTCCTTCGTTTACTGCGCATCTTTACATGTTCGTGCTTGTTGATTTCGTACTGTTACTAATTTTGGATTCGTGAACTGGACTGTTGATCGCTTGTGATTTGGATTTGGACTGTTTAATTGCTCTTCAAAACAACATTTGCTTTCCTTAGACTATCTTTGATAGTGTGATTGTGCAGTGCCGCTATGTCCGTGTACACCGTACAAGAATATGCTAACATGCACCTCATTTATGGGGAATGCAGATGCAACGCTAGTGCTGCAGCGAGACTTTACTGTGGGCGTATTGAAGAAAAGCATTTACTTATTAAGTAAATTCTTTTAGTCAAATTTCTTCTGAAAGTAGTACAAACTAATCTGATGTACCTATTAAAGTCTACTTTAAGCTTTAAATAAATAAATCTTCAAACTACTGAACTGAAGCTCATGTATTTTACATTATTATAAAGGGAATTGAAAGACCTTTAAAATAAGGTATCACTCGACCCCCCTTTCCATTTAAGATTTTAGGGTTGGTGCCACCCCCGTCCAGGGGACTGCACGTGTTAACGTGATTTTTTGCCAAACTTGTGTCCCCCTCGAAAACAAAATCGATGGGTCTAAGCGTTTTTCCAAAAAAAAAACTGTGCTGCCAGTAAATGCGTCTGTTTCGTTTTCGATGCGCCACCCTGTATACAGGGTGTCCGCAAAGTTGGGGTTTTCCTTTTCAGAAACAACTACCCTTGAAATAACAAAGGTAATGTGTAGTGAAACGAGGGCGACAAAGTAAAAAAAAAATAAATGAAAAAGTACTCACTCTCCAGTTGACGAGAAGGGCTAAGTACGTCTTTGCCGTCCGGATTATTGTCATGTTGATGCAACAACCACTCACAAAACCGCACTCTTGCTGGAAAATCGTCAGGTTGAAGGGCTTGTACACGTTGGACGTGAAACGGATACAGCCCCTCTTCACGCAGCGTTTGCCACACTTTAGTTTTTGATACTTGCACTTCTCTAGCCACGTCTCTAGTGCTTGTTGAGGGATTCTCGTCTACGCGATTACCTCGCGTGACCGTAACCGTCGGTTGAAGGTTGCATACTGACCTGACACACTGACCCCGACCCCCGACCCAGTTCTGTCGTTGAGCCAGTGACATTGTACCACTCCGTGATGTCGCGGCTACAGGACGGTATTCAGATATTTTTGATGTTGCAGAGCCCTTTATCTCGGTTCCCTTAAGAAATTGGTGTATATGGTACTAAGAAAAATTGCTTATGTTTTCAAGATCTACACGTCGTGTAAAGGAAAACCCCAACTTTGCGGACACCCTGTATATATATATATTAATCACTTTCTATTTATAGATATAGTAGATCTAAATCTTGTAAAAGTATGCTTAAAATTACAGCACTCCTAGTCGGTGTTGCATTTTCTATGTCATTTATATCGACTTGTCGTAGCTCAGATCCACTGAAGGCATGAGCTTTAACTTCTTACAGAAACTGAAGACTGTGATGGAACGATGCGAAAAGATCCCGCAAGAGTCGTTCGAGTCGCGTTTGGTACCATCGGCCCCCCCGCCACACCATCTGTATCTGCCCATTATGGACCCAGACGGGAAGCAGTTGGGCGATGTGGAATACAGCGCTCCCTCGCCTCCTGAACGGGATCTTTCAACCAAACCAAGACTCACCAGGGCTGATCTGGAGGAATACGCTAGGACCTATTGTCAAGGGGAGGAAGAGGAGACTAGGGCGAGGCTGACGGAATCAGGTACGCGTAGATTCCGTATTCAGTATGATATTCATATTCAGGGCCCCAAACTGGTTTTGTATTTTTTCGCTACATAATTAGATCTGAATGATGAACGGGATCAGGTACACGTGCAACCCCAAATACGTACGATAGAGGTAATTTGAACAGCATTTAAAGCATTTTAATGTTCAATTTCCATTGTTACAAAATAGCTTATTTCACATTGTTGTCTTTGCATTGATGCTAGCTCAATTTTCAGGGTTGAAAGAATTCATGCAGTACAGTCAGAATTATGAGGAATCCATTTTCTCCTCGATCTCCTCCAAAAATGGCTCATCAATTTTGAACCACATGCACCAAAAGCAAACGTCCTACGCTCAGTCAGAGGGATACCACTCGTACGTTTCCAGCACCGATTCGACCTCCACACCGTTCCTGGATCGATTGAGAAGGGACAGCGAAGCCGTACCCAGGACACCGTCGTCTTGGGATGATCTCGAGCAAATGGTAGGTTTAAAACGAAGATAAACTAAAATATTCAAATAGTGTGTCAAAGCTCAAGATCTTCGTTACTATTAGAGTTTCAGAAAAGAGTTAAATATAAAAGTTGTAGGCAGAGCTAAGGACCTAAAATTATTTTCAGTTATACAGGGTAATCCATAAATAAGTGGCCATACAAACTTGTATTTTTCAAATGCGACACCCTGTATTTTTGTTGATTTTTAGAAGCGCCTTTTTTGGCGATTCTGCCAATGTATGGTTTCGGGAGTTTGTACTGGGTATTTCGGAATATATGGCCACTTTTTCATTAAAATCATTATACATTTGACTTCTCGTTATCAGTAGTAGAAGCCCTAGAAAAGTAACTTGTTTTTTTGCAATTATTGAAACAATGTATTCATAGTGATCCTTGAACTTTAGCTTATTATCAATATATAATAAGTGACATATAAATTCGAACACCCAGTTTAAATGGTTTTATTTTAATAAAAGTTGGTGAATGTATTAATCTTACTGTAAATAACAAGTGAAAAAATTTTCAGCCTTATCAGTTGGACATTCCGGTTTTTATACTGCTTTTTTTTTAATTCACTAACGCTCTAAAAATGAATATTTCAGCCGCAGTAAGGAATCAACGTTGGCGGATTTTGGTTCTCGACATCCTTTACGATCGGTTACGATGCCTAGAGTACGGAGACCTGTACGATTTCGTCAACTTAGTGAGTTTGATAGGGGCCGTATAGTGGGACTTCAGGAAGCTGGACTTTCTTTTCGGGCAATTGCAGTTAGAGTGCATAGAAGTGTAGACACTGTGGTTAGGTGTTGTCAGGCATGGCTTCGAGAAGACCGTACGCAAAGAGCAAGGGGCACTGGAACAACAGACCGTGAAGATCGCCGCCTAAGATTTTATTGGCCTTAAGGGACCGTTTCTCCACTACCAGGTCCATTGCAAATGAATGGTTTGCAGAACACGGAAGATCTATTGGCATGCGAAGTGTTTACCGACGAATGCGAAGTTTTGGCTTGTTTTCATACCGGCCACACTGGGTCCTCCCTTTAACTCGAGAACACCAACGTAATCGCCTTGAGTGGTGCAGACAACGGTCACTCTGGGATCAGGAATGGAACAGTATTGTCTTTAGTGACGAGTCTCGATTTTGTTTAGGCATGCACGATGGTCGTGCCAGGGTTAGAAGGCGACGTGGTGAAAGGAGGAATCCACAGTTTTTTGTTGAAAGACATGTTCATCACACTGTTGGAGTTATGGTTTGGGGTGCTATAGCTTATGGTTCCAGGTCACCTTTAATCTTCATCAGAGTTAACATGAACGCACAGCGTTATATCCACGAAGTTCTAGAACCCCATCTTTTACCCTATCTTGACACCCTGGCAGATCCAACTTTCCAACAAGATAATGCCCGACCACATGTTGCAAGAGTCACAATAGACTTCTTTCAACATAATGATGTCACATTGTTACCATGGCCACCAAGATCTCCCGACTTATCCCCAATTGAGCACGTGTGGGATATGATGGGTAGGAGATTGCTCAATTTGCAACGTCCTCCTCAGACTCTAGAAGCACTTCGAGAGGAGTTGGTGGTTGCCTGGAATGAGATACCACAGGAGGGCATTGACCACCTGATCAGAAGCATGCCTAGGCGCGTTGGAGAATGCGTAGCACATCAGGGTGCATCCACACATTATTAAAGGTCAAAGGGCTTTAAAGCAGTGCAATCATTTTGAAATTTTTATCATTTACTTATTATGCTTCATTAAGTACTTATACAAAATTTTATTAAAATAAAACCATTTAAACTGGGTGTTCGGATTTATATGTCACTTAGTATATATACATACATATAACAAAAATAGGAAAATAATGGGCAAAATCCGCAAAAAGTGGATTTGAGCAGAATAGGATAGGTAACCCGAGCGATACGTATTTCTGCTGGTTGGCTTCATCATTATTTTCCTATATACCTTTCTCCGCATGATAATTTACTCTTTTTACCTACATATATATATATATATATATATACCTAAATAATTAATTGAATCAACATTTTTAATTGTTTCACCATTTATTTTATTTGTGATAGTATTTTCATTCAGGTATTTCCCTATTAGCATACATTTTGTTTTAGGAGCATTCAATTTTAGTTTATTTGCATTTAAATAATTTATGATTTTTGCCAAAGTCAGAACTTGGCATTTTTAAAGCAATGCATATATTTTCATCTGATATGTATATCAATGTATCATTTGCAAATATCTGAATTTTACAATAATCTAAAATATTACAAATGTTATTAATGTACAAAATGAATAGTAGCGGACCTAGTTTACTACCTTGTGGTACACCAACAGAAATATTTTTGCGCTTAATAATGTAGGCCCAATTTTGGTTTTTGATTTCTGTCAATTAAGTAGTTTTGTAGATCCTTTAAGTCCGTAGTGATGCATTTTTGTAAGTAATTTATCCCTGTCAATAGTTTCAAACGTCTTTTTGAAGTCCAAAAACTCCTCCAGTCCTCTAAAACCATTTATATTACCAATTCAGTTGAGCGTTCCAGCTTGAAATTTGGTTAAAACTTTAATTCCCTCGATAATTTCGCCGATCTGTTCGTAAATAATTTTTTCGAAGACTTTTTCAAAAAATAATATTTATGTCATTTGCAGTCAAGCACAGCTGAGCTGGAACCGACCTCCCGCAGCGGAGCTCCTGGAGGTAGCGCCAGTGCTGAAGGAGGGCGAGACAGCGTTGTCACTACCAGCTCTGGTAGCGCCACGTCTAGTGAAACGCTCAAGTGGCATGGTAGCATGAGCGATGTTTCTGTAAGTAAACTTAAGGGAATAAGGTGTATACGTATGACTATCAATTTTTGTCTTAATTTCGTTTATATCTTTGTCCAAAGTATTGTGGTATCGTCAGCAAAAACCACGAATCTACTATGTTAAATAAATCGTTGAATAGGATGGGATCTAATACCGATCCCTGAGGCACCCCTGTGCTCATATTCAATTTATTTGAAATAATTATAATGTCCTGATAATTTTACAATTTGACACCAACCATTCTATGTTGGACTTGATAAATTGATCATAGAAGTGGATAATAAATGTGCCTTCGCGCTTTTATTTTCATCTTTGTTCTTGTTGTCTAGTGTGCGGGCAGAGGAAACAGTTCATCGAGCGGAACAACTCGCCAACTGATAGCTCATAGTGCTAGGGTTCAGACACCGCATAGACATCATTCGGAAAGCGTTCTGTATATGACCGGGAGCGAAGAGGAAGCTAACTGGAAAGAAAGGGAATCCAGGATCAACAGGGAGAATGCAAAGCTGAAATTGTTCGCGGTGAACACTTACACTGTACAGCAACAGCAGAAAGAGCAGCAACAACAACAGCATTCTGCTGGAAGAGAAATGATCGGACCTCATGCTGGTAACAGGTAGGTATCTATTTCCTCGATACCCATCAGGAAATAGCGCCTTGTGTATCTAGTGTAAGAAGCGAGCCATATAATACAGGGTGTCCGCAAAGTTGAGGTTTTCCTTTACACGACGTGTAGATCTTGAAAACGTAAGCAATTTTTCTTAGTACCATATACTCCAATGTCTTAAGGGAACCGAGATAAAGGGCTCTGCAACATCAAAAATATCTGAATACCGTCCTGTAGCCGCGACATCACCGACTGGTACTAGGACACTGGCTCAACCAGATGACAGAACTGGGTCGGGGTCAGTGTGTCAGGTCAGTATGCAACCTTCAACCGACGGTTACGGTCACGCGTGTAGAGGTAATCGCGTAGACGAGAATCCCTCAACAAGCACTAGAGACGTGGCTAGAGAAGTGCAAGTATCAAAAACCAAAGTGTGGCAACGCAGTGGCCGTTTCACGTCCAACGTGTACAAGCCCTTCAACCTGACGATTTTCCAGCAAGAGTGCGGTTTTGTGAGTGGTTGTTGCATCAACATGACAACAATCCGGACTTTTTGAAGTGCATATTGGTGACAGACGAATCTACGTTCACGCGTAATGGGGTGAATAACTTTCGCAACACTCATGTTTGGTCAGTAGAAAATCCGCACGCTGTCCGTCGGGCACATTTTCAACAAACATTTTCGGTGAATGTTTGGGCTGGCATGGTGAACGGTATGCTCATTGGACCATTTATTCTCCCGAATCGATTGGACGGGATGCAATACCTAGACTTTTTACGCAACATTTTGCCTTCCTTATTAGAAGATGTGCCATTAAGTGTAAGACAATCAATGTGGTTTCTGCACGATGGTCATATTTGTTACCTCTGTTCGTGGTCTGCACCACCGCCGGCGTCTGCTCGGTAGCGCATCAGCTGATTTCATTTTCTGTTGGAGCGGTATGATTTCGGGCAGAGACGTACTTAGCCCCAACTGGAGAGTGAGTACTTTTTCCTTTATTTTATTTTACTTGGTCGCCCTCGTTTCACTACACATTACCTTTGTTATTTCAAGCGTAGTTGTTTCTGAAAAGGAAAACCCCAACTTTGCGGACACCCTGTATACAGGGTGTTCCTTAATGATATAGGAATATTCAAGGGTGTGAATCTATAAAAAAAATTAATGTTAGTTTGCTTTATCAACTATGGACCAAAAATGTTTCCTTACAAAAACTCGGGGTGTTGAGGTTTTAGGAAAAAAATGATCAGATGAAAGTTGAATAAGTATTGAAATTACAAAAGCTTAGGTGAAACCAAATAATCTGATATCGTATTTAAATTACTCCTACCTATCCTCGATGCTTATTTATGTTGTGACATAGTTTACGATTCTGTCCAATTTGCCTTGATTATCATACCAATATTACTATCATTCTGCGGTAAACGCCAGCCTATAGGCAAACTGGTTAGTTAATAACTGAATAATATAAAACGTTGCGAGTCGTGAAGTATTCCAGTTTTGCATAAAATGACTATCATCTAAAAAAATTACTCTATCACGGAACCAGTTCTGTCGTAATAATCGGGAAAAGTCGCTATACAAAATGTCTAGGGCATCGATCAGAGAATTTTTATTTGTTTGTATGTGTGAATAGTCACACGAGCAGGGTTATTATGTATGAAAACTATACAGGGTGAGGGGAAAATAGATACGGAGCCGGTGTGGGGAGATAGTACAAGCCATTCTGAGTCGATTTTACTATAGGAGCTACTGTCCGAAAATCAGCCGTCATAAGTCATAAAACTTGTACATTGGGTGTTTCATTTGATTTTTGTTTGGTTTTACAATAAAAATAATCTAAAATACGAAAATTGACACTCAAAAGTATGTACATTATTGACGTTATCTCATGCAGTAAGCTTCAAAATAGATCGATTTTTGTTAAAAAAATCTTCGTTCATCTCAAAAGCGTCAGTTTACTAGAAAAAGTCGCATGAAAAATTTTCGTACAAAATAATTAGAAAACATGTTTCATCGCCTTTCAAATGAGGTATAAAAATCACAAATCGATTAAGAATTGGCGAAAATATGACTATTATAAGAGGAGGAAGGAAAAAGCAATAAAAATCATACCTTAATACATTTTTTTATTTTTACAATACATTTTCAATAAGGCGCCCTCTATTTCTAATGCACACACGTGCTCTTCTTATGACAGCTGATGTTACTACCGCCGAATTCCTAAGAGAGGCTTGAATTTCTTGTGCTGCATGTATTATCCTGTTTCTGAGGTCTTCTATTGTGGTTACAGGATTTTGATCAGAGTATAGTAAAGTTTCCATGCGACCCCACACAAAAAAGTCCATAGGTGTGAGATCGGGACTGCGTGCTGGCCATGGGATTGGTCCGCCTCTACCGATCCATCGATTCGGAAACTGCTCATTTAACCAATTTCTAACACTTAGTCTGAAATGTGTTGGGCACCCGTCATGCTGAAAAATCATTATGTGTCTTGTGTGTAGCGGCAAGTAATTCAAATAGAACATTTCTTAAGAAATTTTCGTTGGCTTCTCCATTTCAGTTTTCGGGTAGGAAATATGGTCCTACCAATCAGTTATTTATAATGCACATCCAGACAAAATCGCCTTTGAGATCCTTTTGGTCTCTTCATATGAGGATTTCCCACTGCACGTTCACGCCAATACTGAGCGTTATGGTAGTTTGTTATGCCGTCTTTATCAAATTTTGATTCGTCGGTCCATAGAATTTTTCTTAAATAATTGCTATCTTCAACGCGTTTAAAATAAAACGATAAAATTGCATGCGCCTCACGGGGTCTCCTTCCTCTATGACGTGCACAGGTGTGTAGTGGTAAGGCTGGAATAGATTTTCATACAAAACATACCACACTTGCCATTGGGATAATCCAAGAAATCGAGCCACAGCGCGAGTACAGAGTATGGAAAATATTTAATATTTCTGCTTCTTCTTTCACATCATGTCGAGGTCTACGTGCATCACCTGAAATAAAATGAAAAAACAAATAACAATAGTTATTTGGAGGAAATTGTTACCCAATAGACATAGCGGTAAGACTATGAGCTAGAGTTGCAAAATATTATTTAGAAAAAACGATACACAACGTGTGGATGTTTCCATCTTCAGAGCCGTGTAGATGCTCGTGTTAAAATTAAAAGAATAAACTCTTAATTAAGAAGTTCAATCAACTGTATCAAAACAACTATGTTACAATGTCATCAGTTCAGCCCATGCACCTGCAAGGCTCTACATATGCCTTACTGAATGACTGATTATGATAAGTTAATAATTATCAATGATGCAGACTTGCCTTGATATCTTACGATGGTACCGCGCTCTCGAACCCAACGGAACGTTTGCCTAAATACGCGGGCGTCAGGTAGGCGACGATTTGGAAACATTTCGCCATACTCACGACGAGCTTCTTCAGCATTGCGTCTGGCATCTCCATAGTAGAAAAGGGTATCGGCATATTCTTCGAAACTGAACGGCCGCCTCCTTTGTTCATCAGCCATTGGTCATCGATAGGTAGATCGACGAACAATCAAGTCACACAGCACCCAAGTCGTAAGGCATCACGGAAAACAGGGTACAGTCTAAGTCGTCAGGAAAAGAATCACCCACGGAAGTCCAACAAGAGCCAAGTCGTTAGAAATATCGAAACAGCGAGCAAACAAACACATGCGAACGCAACAAATTGCAAAAGCAGTTTGAAGCGAGGGAAGGAGGGGGGTGATTAGTCTTACTTGTCATACTAAAGTCCGATGTTCGCACCTGTTTCTTTCACTCATATCTTTGTCATTTCTAAACCGGTTTGTGACTTTGATACATCATTTGAAAGGTAATGAAACGTAGATATTTTAAAATTGTTTTGCACGAAAAATTTGTAGGTGATTGTTTCTAGTAAATTGAGTTTTTGAGATGAACGAAGATTTTTTTTAACAAAAATTGAACTATTTTGAATCTTAGTGCATGAGATAACGTCAATAATGTACATTTGGGTATCAATTTTCGTATTTTTAAATATTTTTATTGTAAAAAAAATCAAATGAAACACCCAATTTTCGAACAGCAATTCCTATAGTAAAATCGACTCAGATTGGCTTGTACTATCTCCCCCCACCGGTCCCGCATCTATTCTCCCGTCACCCTGCATAATGTCAAAAACAATACGACAAAATGTCAACTTGCTGACTAGGTTGTTCTTAGTGTGTAAATAGTCCTTTCCGCTAAACGTGCTTAACGTAATAGACAGTCTCGGGACCCTTTCGCACTGGCGGGCGATCGGCGATCTTGCTCTTTTCTACCGCTACAAAAATGGGCTAGGCTCCTCAAACCCGCCCCGCGATGTACCTGCTAAACAGACCCACCTGACTATGGCCTACCATCCTGTGTCGAAATTAGTGCATCCGTAACTGGCGGATACGACCGCTTCTTTGTCCGTAGGGTGTCGAGATTGGGGAGCAATCTACAAGAGGAGGCTTTTCCAAGTTTAAACGCGTCCCCAATGTTGTTGCCAGTTACCCGTAACGCCTAAAAATTCCTGTGTGCGTGCAACAGTGAAAGACCTCTATATGATTCCACTAAATAAAGTATATAAAAAAATCCGGATAAGGTCGAGATCCTATGAGAATTCCGCATTAATGTGTTCCATTTCCAAAGTAGCTAATTACCGAACTACGATGGCGGCATGTATCCGTATATGTCTGACTTATAGTTAGCTTAAGGCAGCAACATCGAATATTTGCACGCTAATTAAGGACATCGTTAATTATCAAGTTCCCCTGTCGAGTAAAGAGGCACGACAAAACAATTAGAATTTCCTGTTTGTTACAGAAGCGGGTGATACTCCTCCAAAATCCATCTGTGATCGTTTAATAGTTGTTAATTAGGTTCCACTGGAGCATACGCATCCATGTTGCCTGTTATGACTGTTAAGCCGGGTCCACACTAAACCGACAAAACAGCGGCTCAATGTTTTTCAACAATCAAGCAACAAATCATCAACAATTCGTGTTTTGTTTCTGTTTCTGGCAACTTTTGGCGTTCCCGTCACGAGTCGCTAAAGACCAAACGGTTTTTGTTTTGTTTTCGTTTCAGGCAACATTGTCGGTGCGATGTGTACTTTGTTGCGAAACAAATATAAAACGGAAACTGGTATCAAATTCGAAGGCGCTGTGTAGGGTGTTTAAAAATGAATACGCAGTATTGTCGAGTGAAACAATAAAGTGGAGTGTAGATAACACAAGTAAAGGAAGTATCCCATATCCTGAAATTAATTCACATTTCCTCAAAACGTTGCCATCAATAGACCTTGTTACTATATTCGGTTTAGGATATTCGTCGTTAAAAATATCGCAAAATTCTTGCTGTGTGCGTCGACGATCGCCCTAATCTAGAAACATTCTAAATAACTCTACTAGCAAAACTCAATGGACATTAGAATGTCAGAAATGACAGGAAATTCCTTTCGATGTCATTGCTTAGGTGAAAAAATACCTTCTATTGTTTAAATATTAATGTTTGACTGCGAATATTTCAAAGACTATGAGGTCTACGTCAAAGTATGTTCATCAGAAAGCTTTCATAATTTCTCTTAGAATACAAACATCCAAAAAATATACTAAGTGACATATAAATCCGAACACCCAGTTTAAATGGCTTTATTTTAATAAAATTTTGTATAAGTACTTAATGAAGCATAATAAGTAAATAATTGCACTGCTTCAAAGCCCTTTGACCTTTAATAATGTGTGGATGCACCCTGATGTGCTACGCATTCTCCAACGCGCCTAGGCATGCTTCTGATCAGGTGGTCAATGTCCTCCTGTGGTATCTCATTCCAGGCACCAACTCCTCTCGAAGTGCTTCTAGAGTCTGAGGAGGACGTTGCGAATTGAGCAATCTCCTACCCATCATATCCCACACGTGCTCAATTGGGGATAAGTCGGGAGATCTTGGTGGCCATGGTAACAATGTGACATCATTATGTTGAAAGAAGTCTATTTGTGACTCTTGCAACATGTGGTCGGGCATTATCTTGTTGGAACGTTGGATCTGCCAGGGTGTCAAGATAGGGTAAAAGATGGGGTTCTAGAACTTCGTGGATATAACGCTGCGCGTTCATGTTACCTCTGATGAAGATTAAAAGTGACCTGGAACCATAAGCTATAGCACCCCAAACCATAACTCCAACAGTGTGATGAACATGTCTTTCAACAAAAAACTGTGGATTCCTCCTTTCACCACGTCGCCTTCTAACCCTGGCACGACCATCGTGCATGCGTAAACAAAATCGAGACTCGCCACTAAAGACAATACTGTTCCATTCCTGATCCCAGAGTGACCGTTGTCTGCACCACTCAAGGCGATTACGTCGGTGTTCTCGAGTTAAAGGGAGGATCCAGTGTGGCCGGTATGAAAACAAGCCAAAACTTCTCATTCGTCGGTAAACACTTCGCATGCCAATAGGTCTTCCGTGTTCTGCAAACCATTCATTTGCAATGGACCTGGTAGTGGAGAAACGGTCCCTTAAGGCCAATAATCTTAGGTGGCGATCTTCACGGTCTGTTGTTCTACGGCGGCTTCCAGTGCCCCTTGCTCTTTGCGTACGGCCTTCTCGAAGCCATGCCTGACAACACTTAACCACAGTGTCTACACTTCTTTGCACTCTAACTGCAATTGCCCGAAAAGAAAGTCCAGCTTCCCGAAGTCCCACTATACGGCCCCTATCAAACTCACTAAGTTGACGAAATCGTACAGGTCTCCGTACTCTAGGCATCGTAACCGATCGTAAAGGATGTCAAGAACCAAAATCCGCCAACGTTGATTCTTTACTGCGGCTGAAATATTCATTTTTAGAGCGTTAGTGAATTAAAAAAAAGCAGTATAAAAACCGGAATGTCCAACTGATAAGGCTGAACATTTTTTCACTTGTTATTTACAGTAAGATAAATACATTCACCAACTTTTATTAAAATAAAACCATTTAAACTGGGTGTTCGGATTTATATGTCACTTAGTATATATATATCATTCCATAAGAAAAACAAGAGTTACTATCAGTTTCCGAAAAACTGTAGATTTGGCAACATCGCGGATATCACCAACGGATCCGCCGGGGATTCAAACCTGAGCCTACCGATTTAAAAAAAATAAATGTCACTCGTCAGATATCAAACTCTTGTTACAGTCTGTATTCCAAATAAAATGTTAGGTCGCCTTCATTTCTGTTTAGGTTTGAATTTCATCGATTTTCTTTCAGATCATCATTGTCGCTGCAATCCGCTTTATCTGTAGCAGACCGCATCAGCGAGCTAGAAAAGCAGCAGAAATACTCCTATCTAGATCCGGAGAAGAAACACAAGATTCCAGATCCTACGTTGAAGGCGATCCAGAAAAAGGCGCTGCTGTCGTTCTACGAAAGGCACAACAACCCCAATAACAAGAATCACTGGCGATCGGAATCACAGTTATCTCCTCAACAGCAACATCGGCAGAGGCAGCAACAACAACAAAATAGTGGACCTCAACCTCCTCCAAGGGTACGTACCATCAAATGAGGGAGTAGAATGACTGAGAGAAGGTGGTTTAGTTTATTAGAAATCTCTTCCAAGTAGCTTGATTCTATTTTTCATATGCAATTCTTTAATCATAATTCATGTGGCATCAAGTTCGAAGATAAACACTAGGTAAGGTGTCCCCAACGGCGAATCCAGGATTTGTCATGACCCCCCCCTGGATTCGCGCATGGGTCTCCCACCCTAAGAGGGCCAGCAAATTTTGGTTCGAGTTGAGATACGCATATCCTCTAATTTTTTTTTTTCAAACAAAACTAGAGAGTTTACGTTTGAAAAAAGGAACTTTCATTTTTCGGGACACCCTAATAAACATAATCTAACTGACTACAGAGAGTAATTCCCCTACTCGGTTCTAAAGCGAGTAGGGGAATTACCGCGCGCTGTTCACTAAACGTATGCATTATTTGCGGGAATCCCCGAAAATGCGTTTCGTTTTCAAGCAAAGACAATGTGAGGGTTGCCATTCGTGTAAAAAAGTAAATAACTACCGATGACGTAATCATCATCTAGACTCCCGTACCCCCCATGTCATCCAAAATAAGCAGACCCTCCCCGCCCCCCATAGTGCTCACGTAATACTTGAACGGCCCCTATTTTACTATAATCGTTTTTAGGTGAAAATTCAGCTGCCTTCAAGGAGGGCCAGTTCCGCGTCTGACTACGCATCAGGTACAAATTCGAAGCGCAGCAGCCTCGCTTCTAGTCTAGAAACGAATCAAACTCGGACGCTGCCCAGACACCAACACAGCAACTCTTGCAGCAGTTTGTCCGCAGACCTCCTTGGACCGGTCATAGTGGGAGCATCTATATCGGTGGATGACTATGTGCCAAAGAAACCACCGGAAAGGCCTCCGAAGAACCCGAATCTCAGGAATGCATTTCCAGATCTCTTTCAAGAACCACGGTAAGGGATCATAAGGTGGTGTCCGAAAAGGTGCACCGAAAAACATATCCTTGAACGGCGGGGTTAGTACGTAAAAAGCCTTATGTAATGTCAAAAAAAAAACGTCAAAATGTCAATTTGCTGACTAGATAGTTCCTATTGCTCGCTATGAGCGGTATGAGAAGCGCCATCTGAGGAGCAATGACTCAACGACGCACTCGGTGACCAGCTGCAAGTCCGTTGGTTGTAGAATGCCGAGATAGTGTATATACGTTTTCAAAGTTTACTCATTTATTTTAACAGCCTGTAGAACTCGCCAAAAGAAGTTGGTATACCAAAAGTTACCTATATACAAATGTACAATTTAATAATACAGGGTTTGTCCGAAAAGTAATAGCACTGAGTCCATTTAAAAAATTTTATTGAGCCAATCGTTACATTTCCTTAAAAACTTTCAAAATAGGCTCCTTCTGCGTCGATGCAGCGCTGCCAGCGCGATTTCCAAGCATTGAAGACGTCACGGAAGGCATTCTCCAGAATAGCCTTGAGAGCCGCGGTGCATCCCCTCTGTCGCCTCAAAATGAGCCTTTTCAGGCGAGGAAACAAAAAAAAGTCCGGGGGCCACATCTGGGCTGTAGGGCGGCTGCGGAAGCGTTGAGATGCCAGCCTTGGTCAGGTAGCTGTTCACAAAGGCGGTGTGAGCCGGGGCGTTGTCGGCTGCAATGTCTTGTCGGACCCGACTGACCCTTCGTTTGAGTCTCCTGAGCACTTTCACGTAAAACTTGGCGTTGACGGTTTGTCCAGGAGGAACAAATTCATGGTGGACAATGCCTTTGATGTCAAAAAAGACAATGAGCATCGTTTTCACTTTGGATTTGCTCGTTCTTCCCTTTTTTGGGCGAGGAGACGCCGTCGTGTGCCACTCGGAAGATTGCCTCTTTGTCTCGGGATCATACTCAAAGATCCACGACTCGTCACCTGTGATTACGTTATTCAAAAATTGGGGGTCACTTTTACACATGTTCAAATTTTCTTGGCACACTTCCACTCGCCGCAATTTCTGGTCGTCAGTGAGCACTTTTGGGACCAACTTCGCGCACACCTTGCGCATGTTCAAATGCTATGTATCAATGTCATGAACCACAGATTTTGTTAAATTTAACACCTGGGCAATTAAACGAATACTTAGTCGACGGTCGGAGTCCTATTACTTTCCGGACAAACCCTGTATTTCGTACTGTGCCTATACCTCGATTTGTTAACAGTCAGCGATTTGGCCTTTTAAATGCAAGTGAATGATCACTTTTCTTACTTCGTCAGAAACTGCTTTAGCACTCGCCATTTTTAATTATTAACACCAATGCATTGAAAGTTGATCTAAACGTCAAAAATCAGCTTCTTAGCAACGTAATCATTATGCAGGGTGTTCCTTAATGATATGCGAATATTTAAGGTTATGAATCTACACCAAAAATTGATGTTAATTTGCTTCATAAATTATGATCCAAAAATATTTCCTTACAAAAACTCGGGGTGTTGAAGTTTTAGGATAAAATGGAAATTAATTAATATTCTCAGAACCGCTTTCCTGCTATGCGCCATTTTTGAGTAAAAAAATAAAAATCGTTCTATTGTCTTCAAAAATTATTATTAATTTAATTGGAAAAATTAAACATATACTAAGTGACATATAAATCCGAACACCCAGTTTAAATGATTTTATTTTAATAAAAGTTGGTGAATGTATTTATCTTACTGTAAATAACAAGTGAAAAAATTTTCAGCCTTATCAGTTGGACATTCCGGTTTTTATACTGCTTTTTTTTAATTCACTAACGCTCTAAAAATGAATATTTCAGCCGCAGTAAACAATCAACGTTGGCGGATTTTGGTTCTTGACATCCTTTACGATCGGTTACGATGCCTAGAGTACGGAGACCTGTACGATTTCGTCAACTTAGTGAGTTTGATAGGGGCCGTATAGTGGGACTTCGGGAAGCTGGACTTTCTTTTCGGGCAATTGCAGTTAGAGTGCAAAGAAGTGTAGACACTGTGGTTAGGTGTTGTCAGGCATGGCTTCGAGAAGGCCGTACGCAAAGAGCAAGGGGTACTGGACGCCGCCGTAGAACAACAGACCGTGAAGATCACCGCCTAAGATTATTGGCCTTAAGGGACCGTTTCTCCACTACCAGGTCCATTGCAAATGAATGGTTTGCAGTACACGGAATACCTATTGGCATGCGAAGTGTTTACCGACGAATGAGAAGTTTTGGTTTGTTTTCATACCGGCTACACTGGGTCCTCCCTTTAACTCGAGAACACCGACGTAATCGCCTTGAGTGGTGCAGACAACGGTCACTCTGGGATCAGGAATGGAACAGTATTGTCTTTAGTGACGAGTCTCGATTTTGTTTAGGCATGCACGATGGTCGTGCCAGGGTTAGAAGGCGACGTGGTGAAAGGAGGAATCCACAGTTTTTTGTTGAAAGACATGTTCATCACACTGTTGGAGTTATGGTTTAGGGTGCTATAGCTTATGGTTCCAGATCACCTTTAATCTTCATCAGAGGTAACATGAACGCGGAGCGTTATATCCACGAAGTTCTAGAACCCCATCTTTTACCCTATCTTGACACCCTGGCAGATCCAACTTTCCAACAAGATAATGCCCGACCACATGTTGCAAGAGTCACAATAGACTTCTTTCAACATAATGATGTCACATTGTTACCATGGCCACCAAGATCTCCCGACTTATCCCCAATTGAGCACGTGTGGGATATGATGGGTAGGAGATTGCTCAATTTGCAACGTCCTCCTCAGACTCTAGAAGCACTTCGAGAGGAGTTGGTGGTTGCCTGGAATGAGATAGCACAGGAGGACATTGACCACCTGATCAGAAGCATGCCTAGGCGCGTTGGAGAATGCGTAGCACATCAGGGTGCATCCACACATGATTAAAGGTCAAAGGGCTTTAAATCAGTGCAATCATTTTGAAATTTTTATCATTTACTTATTATGCTTCATTAAGTACTTATACAAAATTTTATTAAAATAAAACCATTTAAACTGGGTGTTCGGATTTATATGTCACTTAGTATATTAGAGATAATTAACAACAACAACTGACAACATAAACATAACATTAAAAACAACAAAATGATTACAAAAATTGTTAAAAATGGCCCTCTTCACTTAGTATGCATGCTTCCGCCCTCCTCATGGAATTGCGGACTCGTTGAAATATTCCCGGAGTGTTTTTTATTCTATCACAAGCTGCATTTCTTCTTCCTCTTAATTAAAAATATCGAAGTCAATACCCGTACGTAAACCACTGTTAAAGCTAAAAATTATTTTTGCATTGAAAGATATGCAATGTTATTAACTTTCACTACGTACTAAATATCAGTGAAATATCTGAAGCGGTTCTGAGAATATTAATTAATTTCCATTTTTTTCCTAAAACTTCAACACCCCGAGTTTTTGTAAGGAAACATTTTTGGACCAGCAAACTAACATTAATTTTTATGTAGATTCATACCCTTAAATATTCGCATATCAATAAGGAACACCCTGATATCACTGAGGGATTTTACTAAATATGCCATTTCTGGAGAATCTCACACTTCGGGCAGTGCCGGCAGGGCAATACTGTCGAGTTTTTCTGCCCGACAGTGGCTATAAAAGAAAGTTAAAAGACAAAAAAAGTTGTTTAATGGCCAATTATCTATCGATATTAAACTATTAACCAAGAACCCGTTTTTTCAGCGTTCCAAGTAGAGTACCGAGCCCCGACTTGCCACCGCCGTCTCCTCCGCCAATAGTAGAGGACGAGGTGATCAACAACGATGAGCCGTTACCCCCTCCACCGCCAGAATGCAAACCTGATTGGACGGACTTCAAGGATCATTTCAAGGACGCAACAACAAGCAACCAAACACCTGAACCTCAAATACAAAAGGGAAACAGCAGCGATAGCAAACTAGATGCAGCACCTTTGCAACAAACTGTAGGTGGGTGTCTGAATGATCCGGCCACGCAGTATAATCTTGCTGTTACCAAGGAATACAGACATAATATTAACGATAAAGATACAGGGTGATTCACAAGTCGTGACCAAAAATGAAACATCATACACAGGACCGCATTTTAGGGGGCTCATGAGGTGACGACACCCTTAACCTTACTTTTTAATATCAGTGTTTATGAATTGTTTTGTTTTTCGAATATGATTTATATAAAATTACTAATAACTCAAAAACATCTCAATATCACATTCAAATAAGCCGGCACTGATTGTAGGGGCACTTGAAATAACTCTTTGTAACAAACTTTTCTGAATAAGACCCACGTATTTCCCTCCAGGCCGCACCCAAGAGCGAGATGTCATTTTTCGTACACCGTGAGATCGATACTTAAGTAACTATCGGAGATAATCAACATACAACAACCACGGATTTCTTTCATGCTTGTTACAAATTGAGATAGCAGTTTCCGGTGTGAATACCTTGTTTATGCATTGATCAACGTATAATCCTTATGGCGTTCAATCACGGTTGAGAATATTTGTGAACACAACCGCCCAGCCGCATCTCTAGTATTCGTTTTCCAATCTACTCTTGACAATTCATGCATTTATAGTGCTTCCAAGCTAATAACAGTAAACATGAATAATATGCATTCACACAAATGTTTGTTATTTTAACACATAGATAGCTGAGCTGACGAAAGGAAAAGACAGTCCTGGTTTCATATATAATGAAGATTTTCCTGTGTTTTTCCTTTTCCCCAACAAACGTACACACGTTACATGCATACTGAAACGCTTTTATTAGAAATGATACGTCGCATAAATATCGCGCGCTCACAGAGGATCTATGTGCCAAACAGTGGTTAATATACAGGGTGACTTCTAAGTTGAGTCATTTATTTTAACAGTGAGTAGATCTGATCAAAAGAAATGTTTTTTTCCTTTACCATTTTTCTGGTAAAATTAAAGTAACAAAGTTATAGCCCTTTGGAAGTTTGAGTACCGCCCTGTCTCAATAATAATATTATGTGCTCGTGTTTGGCGACAACGGATATAATCCGTCTTATCGGTTCATCGCATCGGAAACAAAAAAGCGAAAGAATTTGGAACGATGTTTTTACAATTATTTCATTCAGTTGTATACAGTCAGTGTCAGTCGGTAGTGAATAGTCGTGTCTGTTGCGTGGCTCAAACGAAATAAAAAATGGCACATGTTTATGCGGATCGGTTTCCCAATCGAGGGCAACCAACCCCTCGTGCCTTTGTTAATGTAGTACAACGGGTTCGTGAATCATTTGACTTAAGACCTCACATATGGACGGCATGCCGGTGCTCCAAGACCTCACGATCAAATACAGGTCCGCACTGAAATACTTGTCTTGAGGATACTTTATAAAACAAGGTAAACATTTTTTTTTAATTTTTTTTTTTATTTTTACACACATATTTTGGTTTATCTTCCTTCTACAATCATTATCTGAAAATTAATGACTCAACTTCAAAGTCACCCTGTATCTACATTAGACGGCAAATTAATCGACAATGGAGGTGTAAGAATATGTTGTTTCTTGTTCTTTCTTTCTGGTCCCCCATCACTAAGGTTTCTCTTGTTATTTCAGGCATTCCAGAAAGATCACCTCGACGTTCGTCCATGCGATCTTCAATACGATCCAAATTCGGAGAGCACATCTTTCAACAGGCTTACGCGTCATCCGTCCATGCTGAGAAACCGGCTACGACGAAGACGTTAGGTACTTCGAGCCAGCGCAGTTACCAAGAGTGCTCCACTACAAGCTACCCGAACATCTCGAAATATGCGATCGGTGGCGCTGTAGCTACTAGCCAAAAAGCTAATAGAATTTCGGAGCAGTTGAGGCCCGAACCACTTAACAGGTATATACATTTCTGTGTGTCAGAAACATCTGGGATACTTATTGCGAGCAACGTGAAACATGCTACTTCGGCTTGTGGTAACATTGCGGAACCGTTTCTGGGACCGTTAATGTCCTACTCATACCAGGATTCCATTTAGGCGAAGGATATGGCTTATGGCACTTTCCTCTAATGTAACATAAAGCGAAGAATAATAAACATGAAAAAACATCAATCCCACCTTACAAACATACCTTTTACATAAGCAACTTATTGGCGGCTTCTGCGTCAGACTAATTTCAAAGCCACGGTAGTTTCGTACCGCATGGAAGTCACGCCCGTGTCCATGATCAGGGGAACGATAGCTTCCTACCGCATGAAAATCATGCCAATGTCCATAACCATTGGAGCGGTAGCTTCGTACCGCATGAAAATCACGCCTGATACGGAAATATCTCGCAAAGAGGAACGATAGCTTACTGCCGCATAGAAGTCACGCCCGTGTCCATGATCATTGGAACGATAGCTTCCTACCACATGAAAGGCAGGCCAATGTCCATAACCACGGGAGCGGTAGCTTGCTTCCGCATGGAAGTCACGCCTCATATGGAAATACCTTGCACGGGGGAACGGTAGCTTCCTACCGCATGGAAGTCACGCTCGTGTCCATACTCGGGGGAACGATAGCTTCCTACCGCATGAAAAACATGCCAATGTCCATAACCATTGGAGCGGTAGCTTCTTACCGCATGGAAGTTACGCCTGATACGGAAATATCTCGCACAGAGGAACGATAGCTTCCTACCGCATAGAAGTCACGCCCGTGTCCATGATCAGGGGCACGATAGCTTCTTGCCGCATGAAAGTCATGTCAATGTCCATAACCACGGGAGCGGTAGCTTCCTACCACATGGAAGTCACGCCTGATACGGAAATATCTCGCTTCGAGGAACGGTAGCTTCCTACCGCACAGAAGTCACGCCCGTGTCCATGATCAGGGGGAACGATAGCTTCCTACCGCATGAAAGTCATGTCAATGTCCATAACCACGGGAGCGGTAGCTTCCAGCATGGAAGTCACGCCTGATACGGAAATATCTCGCTTCAAGGAACGGTAGCTTCCTACCGCACAGAAGTCACGCCCGTGTCCATGATCAGGGGAACGATAGCTTCCTACCGCATGAAAGTTTTGCCAATGTCCATAACCACGGGAGCACTAGCTTCCTACCGCATGGAATTCACGCCTGATACGGAAATATCTCGCTTCGAGGAACGGTAGCTTCCTACCGCATAGAAGTCACGCCCGTGTCCATGATCAGGGGAACGATAGCTTCCTACCGCATGAAAGTCATGTCAATGCCCATAACCACGGGAGCGGTAGCTTCCTACCGCATGGAAGTCACGCCTGATACGGAAATATCTCGCTTCGAGGAACGGTAGCTTCCTACCGCACAGAAGTCACGCCCGTGTCCATGATCAGGGGGAACGATAGCTTCCTACCGCATGAAAGTCATGTCAATGTCCATAACCACGGGAGCGGTAGCTTCCAGCATGGAAGTCACGCCTGATACGGAAATATCTCGCTTCAAGGAACGGTAGCTTCCTACCGCACAGAAGTCACGCCCGTGTCCATGATCAGGGGAACGATAGCTTCCTACCGCATGAAAGTTTTGCCAATGTCCATAACCACGGGAGCACTAGCTTCCTACCGCATGGAATTCACGCCTGATACGGAAATATCTCGCTTCGAGGAACGGTAGCTTCCTACCGCATAGAAGTCACGCCCGTGTCCATGATCAGGGGAACGATAGCTTCCTACCGCATGAAAGTCATGTCAATGCCCATAACCACGGGAGCGGTAGCTTCCTACCGCATGGAAGTCACGCCTGATACGGAAATATCTCGCACAGAGGAACAGTAGCTTCCTACCGCATAGAAGTCACGCCCGTGTCCATGATCAGGGGAACGATAGCTTCCTACCACATGAAAGGCATGCCAATGTCCATAACCACGGGAGCGGTAGCTTGCTTCCGCATGGAAGTCACGCCTCATATGGAAATACCTTGCACAGGGGAACAGTAGCTTCCTACCGCATGGAAGTCACGCTCGTGTCCATACTCGGGGGAACGATAGCTTCCTTCCGCATGAAAATCAAGCCAATGTCCATAACCATTGGAGCGGTAGCTTCTTACCGCATGGAAGTCACGCCTGATACGGAAATATTTCGCACAGAGGAACGATAGCTTCCTACCGCATAGAAGTCACGCCCGTGTCCATGATCAAGGGAACGATAGCTTCCTACCGCATGCAAGTCATGCCAATGTCCATAACCACGGGAGCGGTAGCTTTCTACTACATGGAAGTCACGCCTGATACGGAAATATCTCGCACAGAGGAACGGTAGCTTCCTACCGCATAGAAGTCACGCCCGTGTCCATGATCAAGGGAACGATAGCTTCCTACCGCATGCAAGTCATGTCAATGTTCATAACCACGGGAACGATAGCTTCCTACCGCATGGAAGTCACGCCTGATACGGAAATATCTCGCACAGAGGAACGGTAGCTTCCTACCGCATAGAAGTCACGCCCGTGTCCATGATCAAAGGAACGATAGCTTCCTACCGCATGCAAGTCATGCCAATGTCCATAACCACGGGAGCGGTAGCTTTCTACCACATGTAAGTCACGCCTGATACGGAAATATCTCGCACAGAGGAACGGTAGCTTCCTACCGCATAGAAGTCACGCCCGTATCCATGATCAGGGGAACGATAGCTTCCTACCGCATGAAAGTCACGCCTGATACGGAAATATCTCGCATAGAGGAACGGTAGCTTCCTACCGCATAGAAGTCACGCCCGTGTCCATGATCAAGGGAACGATAGCTTCCTACCGCATGCAAGTCATGTCAATGTTCATAACCACGGGAGCGGTAGCTTCCTACCGCATGGAAGTCACGCCTGATACGGAAATATCTCGCTTCGAGGAACGGTAGCTTCCTACCGCATAGAAGTCACGCCCGTGTCCATGATCAGGGGAACGATAGCTTCCTACCGCATGGAAATCACACCGATGTCCATAACCAGGGGACCGATAGTTTGCTACTTCATGGAAGTCACGCCCGATGTACAGCCCTTTATAATATGGTGCTTAGACAGATATGCCAAGTTTATTGATTGTTACGAAAAGCAGTCCAAAAAGTGTCAAATGAACCTTTTACTGGGTGTCTCACATGCAGAAAGGTGTCTAAAATATTGTGTATGCTTACGAAATAAACGTAAAAGCACATTTATCATTATCTGTGTAGGGAGAACAAACTACTCCAATCGCCGTCAAGCTTGCCAGCCCAAAGGGCATCGATTGCTGGCTCCCCTGTCAAGGAGGTGCCGCCTCCTCTTCAGCCTAGGCAGATGAGGATAAACCAGTCCATGCGAGGAAGGGGACCCTACGATCACAGAGCAGCGCTTGCGGCTACAGGCGGACACGATCAGAGGTCAGCGTCAATGTAAGTACTTTTTACCTACCCAGCTCAAAACGGAAGAGGGGCACCTTCAAAAAAATTTTTGGTGGAAGTTCCACAAATCATATCTACATAACTATGCTTGATATTTTTCTTTCCGTTTGCATTTCCACGACGATTTGACAATTCGTATGGATATGGCAAACTACTAAGGTTACTTTTTTTAAACGTTCAGGCAGGTCAAATATGAACCCTGATTGACGTAAACGATTTGACAGTAGATTTATATATATTTTTTAGAGTGAATGCGAAAGCTTCGAAGTCTCTTAAAAATCTGGAAAATCTTGTTAATTTGAAAATCTGGAAACTCTCGAAAATATTGGAAATCTTGAAAATTCTTGAAAACCTTGAAAATCTCGAAAATCGTGAAAATCTGGAAAAACTTGTAAATTTGAAAATCTGTAAAGTCTTGAAAATCTCGTAAATCTTGGAAATCTTTAAAATCTGGGAAAACTTGTAAACTTGTAAATCTTGAAAATCTTGAATATCTCGAAAATCTTGAAAGACTTGAAAATCTTGAAAATCCTTGCACATCTGGAAAATCTTGATAATCTCGAAAATCTTGAAAGACTTGAAAATCTCGAAAATCTCTGAGGTCTCGAAAATCTCGAAAACCTTGAAAATCTCAAAATCTCGAAAATCTGAAAATTCTTGTAAATCTCGAAAATCTTGGAAATCTCGAAAATTCATGAAAACCTTGAAAATCTTAGAAATCTTGACAATCTGGAAAACCTTGTAAACTTGAAAATCTTGAAAATCTGGAAAATCTTGAATATCTCGAAAATTCTTGAAAACCTTGAAAATCTCGAAAATCGTGAAAATCTGGAAAAACTTGTAAATTTGAAAATCTGGAAAGTCTTGAAAATCTCGAAAATCTTGGAAATCTCTAAAATCTGGGAAAACTTGTAAACTTGTAAATCTTGAAAATCTTGAATATCTCGAAAATCTTGAAAGACTTGAAAATCTTGAAAATCCTTGCAAATCTGGAAAATCTTGATAATCTCGAAAATCTTGAAAGACTTGAAAATCTCAAAATCTCGAAAATCTGAAAATTCTTGTAAATCTCGAAAATCTTGGAAATCTCGAAAATTCATGAAAACCTTGAAAATCTTGGAAATCTTGACAATCTGGAAAACCTTGTAAACTTGAAAATCTGGAAAATCTTGAATATCTCGAAAATTCTTGAAAACCTTGAAAATCTCGAAAATCGTGAAAATCTGGAAAAACTTGTAAATTTGAAAATCTGGAAAGTCTTGAAAATCTCGAAAATCTTGGAAATCTCTAAAATCTGGGAAAACTTGTAAACTTGTAAATCTTGAAAATCTTGAATATCTCGAAAATCTTGAAAGACTTGAAAATCTTGAAAATCCTTGCAAATCTGGAAAATCTTGATAATCTCGAAAATCTTGAAAGACTTGAAAATCTCGAAAATCTCTGAGGTCTCGAAAATCTCGAAAATTCTTGAAAACCTTGAAAATCTCAAAATCTCGAAAATATGAAAATTCTTGTAAATCTCGAAAATCTTGGAAATCTCGAAGATTCATGAAAACCTTCAAAATCTTGGAAATCTTGACAATCTGGAAAACCTTGTAAACTTGAAAATCTGGAAAATCTTGAATATCTCGAAAATTCTTGAAAACCTTGAAAATCTCGAAAATCGTGAAAATCTCGTAAACTTGAAAATCTGGAAAATCTTGAATATCTCGAAAATCTTAAAAGACTTGAAAATGCTTGAAAATCTTGAAAATCATCAAATTCTTCAAAATGTTCAAAATGAGAAAGAGATTAAAAAGCCTCCAAAATGGATATGTCATATATTTGCTGCAATTGTTTATTGAAAAATATCGTTCTTCAACTCCTGAAATTGTCATATAGTTATGTATTTCATAGGATATCAAAAAGTGTCTAACTAAACCAAATAGTTTGTCTGGATTCGGCAAATTAAACTCAAAATCAGGTGATTGCAAAATGCAAATATCTCCAGAATTATTGAATTTCGGATAATACGTACGTACATGGATAAATTCGACAGGTATTAAGAACGTCTGGCTTTCGTTGATCGATCCATACCTTTACACCCTATGATCGAAGTACCATTTATTTCTGGCTGTTCTTTAATCCACCTTGTACGAATGTATAAGTTCCTTGTTGATTTTTCTTCTTCGAACAATGCCGGTTATCGGACAAGACCTACTTTCAGCGTTCGCATCATTTTAGTTCCACATAATAAAATCATAGCTAACGCCTACAGAACCAAGACAATGTATATTATGCTCGCTTATTATTATTTATAACCGATTTATTGATGCACGAATGCGGACGACATTAATATTAGTTATTATCCCCTTGTTCTATATTGGATACTCTCGTTGTTCATCTTTCATTTTTCTCGTCTTCTTGCTGTCTACTCACTACATGACCCTAGGCGTAGGCTATGCCTTAGATCTATCGCAATATAGGTACGAGGTGTGGTCAGAAAATATGGTGACGGTTATTACGGACAAATTATTCAACTTATGTCAAATTTAAACAAATCTTGACTTGACTAGCGACGTGCTTATCCCAATGGTGATATAGATGTCAAAAGCCAGTTATACAGGGTGACTTTGAAGTTGAGTCATTAATTTTCAGATAATGATTGTAGAAGGAAGATAAACCAAAATATGTGTGTAAAAATAAAAAAAAATAAAAAAAAAATTTACCTTGTTTTATAAAGTATCATCCCGACAAGTATTTCAGTGCGGACCTGTATTTGATCGTGAGGTCTTGGAGCACCGGCATGCCGTCCATATGTGACGTCTTAAGTCAAATGATTTACGAACCCGTTGTACTACATTAACAAAGGCACGAGGGGTTGGTTGCACTCGATTGGGAAACCGATCCGCATAAACATGTACCATTTTTTATTTCGTTTGAGCCACGCAACAGACACCACTATCCACTACCGACTGACACTGACTGTATACAACTGAATGAAATAATTGTAAAAACATCGTTCCAAATTCTTTCGCTTTTTTGTTTCCGATGCGATGAACCGATAAGGCGAATTATATCCGTTGTCGCCAAACACGAGCACATAATATTATTATTGAGACAGGGCGGTACTCAAACTTCCAAAGGGCTATAACTTTGTTACTTTAATTTTACCAGAAAAATGGTAAAGGAAAAAAACATTTCTTTTGATCAGATCTACTCACTGTTAAAATAAATGACTCAACTTCGAAGTCACCCTGTATATTCCAGAGCAACTAGATATTTATTGCTAAATTGCATTATTCAATTATTACATTAATTTTCTCGGACAATAGAACGGTTTTTATTTTTTTACTCAAAAGGAAAACAACTCAAGAGCATTTGTTTTACATTAAACACTTCATGCGAACTGGAGAGATGTGCTGAAGATTAGTCACCGCCCATGGTTCGGAGACTCGATCTGTTTACTTTTTTCGTATGGCGTTGATGACGTAAGCGCCAACAATACTACGATTGAAAGCATCTTTGGAATGTTTTTTTCGGAAGAAACTTCAGCTGCTCTGTCGCAGCTCTTTCAATCTCAGGAATAATGTCAAACCGATTTCCTTTCAGCAATCTTTATTTTTGGGATGAGCCAGAAAGGCTGATGTGGACAGTCATTTTATATCAAAAACTATCAAATATACAAAATTTTCAAAAGTTTCAAAATTTTCACATCATCAAGACTTTCAAATTTTCAAAATTTTCTAAATTTGAATTGTTTTCGATATCTTTCTGAGAGTCCATCTATGCACACGCGACAATTTTGTAAAAAATATTTCGAAACTTTTGAAAACGTTAATTTAGAATGTGTTAAAAACGTTAAATTGAAAATTTTGAGAATTTTAAAAATGTTTGTAATCATGAAAATCTTTAAATTTTCAAAATTTTAAAATTCAAAGAATAATGCAAATTTTGAAAATCATGAAAATATCGAATATTTTGAAAATTTTTAAAATCTTGAAAGTTTTGAGAAGCATTAGAATTTTGAAAATCATGGAAATTTTGATAATTTTGAAAATTTTTGAGGTTTTCAAATTTTGAAAATTTTAGAATTCCAAGAATACTGCAAATTTTGAAAATCCTGAAACTTGATAGTTTCTATAATCATGATAATTTTGTAAAACTTGTAATACTCCTAAAATTCAAAAATTTTCAGTATTGGATAATTTTCTAGATTTTCATAATTTACAAAATTCTCAAAATTTTCAAAATTAACGATTCAAAAATATTCATGACTGAAAATTTTTAAGTTTCAAAATTTTCATATTTTTCGATGTTTTCAGAGTTTTGAAATATTTGAAAATCGTCAAAACTCTCGAGATTTTCAAAACTGAAAAACTTCAAACGTCAAAATTTTCAGAATTTTCAAAATTTCCAAGATTTTCAAAACTTTTAAAATCTTCAGGATTTTCAAAATTTTCTATACTCAATATTCTTGCAATTCTAAAATTTGCAAATTTTGAAGATTTTCATACTTTTGAAAATTTCAAACCAACATTTTTAAAAGTTCTAAAACTAAAAATTTTTTAAATTAACGTTTTAAAAATTTTCTATATTTTCAAAATTTGCAAAACTCAAAACTAGTCAAAATTCAACATTTTTCTAAATTTCAAATTTTTCATATTTTTCAGATTTCAGAATTTTCACAATTTGCAAAGTTTTCAAAATATTCAAAACATTCGAAATTTTAAAAACTAGAAATTTGAATCTTAATTTCTAAAATGTTCATTATACTTGGAATTTCTAAAATTTGAACTTTTTTAGAATTTCTGAAACATGGATAATCCTGAAAATTTTGATAGTTTCGAAGTATTTGAGGGTTTTGGAAATTTTGGAACTTTTAAGTTGAATCGGTCAGACGCAGTAGGTTTAGAGACAGACTACTTTATTTTTTCCAGTAGAAACAATTCAGTCTGCTATTAGATACAAACATAAATACCATAAACCACCAGTCATCATAATTTTTTACACGAT